TCGACCGACTATGGGCGGAATGTCGACTGACTATGACCCAGTGTCAACAGACATGACTTGAGTATCAACCCACTCTTGGCAGATATATTGAACGATATACTGGTCAAGAGTACCCACAGTAAACATGATCGGAGTACTTAATCACTCAGTAACATTCAATACAAATTGTTCTTGTAAGCAGGATAACAAATTTTTAAAATACTAGGTGTTTCCCTCACTAGAAATGAAAGGCTACCACAAAACAATGGTGGTATATTCACAAGTTGGCATAATGCCAGTGTGTGATGTCAACTTACTTTGGGCAGATGGGATCCACAGGAGTCTCATCAAGGAGATCATAAATATAGTTGTTGTATATTTCAAAGTATGACACAAACACTGCATAGCTGTTATCCTCATCCACCTGCAAACAAAGTAATGTTGTAATATCCAATCTTGGAAGCTGGTAATAAATGCCTGTACAATCTAGACCCTCTTTGAACTTAAGGTAGAATAAAATATAGATAAGTCTTGCTGCTTACAAGAACTATACACTAACTGAATGTTGCCATGTCAGCTACTGTAAACCTGGATTAGCTCAAATGGTACTATCAAAAACTTGGTTCAGATGTTAAACCAGGGCTTGACACTAAGTTTTCAACTTACTAGCCAAGTGGCTAGTGACAACTTAGATGTTACAACAATTTCAGTTCAATTACTAGCCAAACTGCGGCTGGTGGAAATCGAAAACCACTAGCCAAAACTGAATTTCTACTAGTCTGTGGCTAGTTGGTTACTGTTAGTGTCGAGCCCTGAAAACATTAGGATGCGAGATAAGTGACAGCCATTGATAGCAACTGGCACTTGCACTCACAAATTATTGCACCCCTTGCTTACCTGCACTTCAAAAGGAAAGTAAGAAAACAAAAAAAGCAAACAGTTCTAAAACTTTATTGTATAAACTGAAAAATATAAGTCCACCCACTTCAGAAATAACTCCAGTTTCAGCTACTCTTATAACATCAGCAAAGTCATTATCAGCATTCCTAGACAAACATCATCATTTAAGAAAATCAATGAAGGGTGTACACACAAGTAAAATATTGTCAGTCGCTAACTTTCATCACCTTAGAGCTCTTGTATCATAATTATTAGAGGTACTCATTGCTTTTTTTCTAAGAGAGAAGCTAATCACAAGTTTGATATTCCATGCTTATAAATATATTTTTAAGTTTACTCTCTAGTATTGGTTACTGGTTGCACATGTAGATAAAATAAAATAGATAGTAATGAAAGAGTCTGAGAGGTTTAAACAATTGAATCATTATTATGGCCCTGTTCCCAACTAGAGTTGAACCCATGTAAAGTAACAGGGTTTATACATGTACTGGTATGTGCAAATGGAGAGTTATAGTTATCAGACCAGCAAATATATGCTTCAACCATTCCAAGAATGTTGTACCCTATACCTGTTTCTTCCACCTGGAGTCGCCTGGAGAGCAGCTTCTTTTTCGCGCTTTTCTTTTTCAAGTTTTGCTTCAAGTTCTGTTTGAATTTCAATTCCATTTGATTTGTCTTGTTTGAAGACCTTAAAGGAGAAGACTGTGTTTTAAACAACCAGAGAAAATGATATTTGGTGATTGTTATTGAAAAATTATCACTAGCTGATAAAAGTACAAAAGTCCCACCAATAGAAATCCCAGAAATTTCCAGTATTACTGAAAATAATAATTCAGTCACTGTTACCATGATTATTACTAGAAGATAAAAAGTAAAAGAAGTCTTGCATACTTGAATATCTTTTTGAAAGGGTCATGGACCACAGTGTTCACAGTTAAAAAATCAGCTACAGAATTTAAATCATTCAACCACAAAAATGCTGAAACACCTAACTGACTTTAAATTGTATACTAAGATAAAAGTAAACGGAGATACTACTTTACATGTACATGTTTACTGTAAACTTACAATACATGAAAATGGAACACACTAAATTACAGTGTTATTGTATGAAAATTAAACAAGTACAATAGAATGCCATTTTTAAATCACAAGTGGGACAACGTAATCAATAATTGTATTCTACCTTGTCATGGATAATCATTTCCATACTGTATAACTTACACATTTGGGCGCCTGCAATTCTCCGATAGAGTTAAAGATGACATCTAAACACCTCGGAAGTAAGCCACTGTTACTGGGAGTTCCTGTCATGGTGTGTGTCTTACCAGACCCAGTGATACCATAAGCAAATATCAAACCTGCGAGTAAAAAGGTGGCACAAAAGCGATGTCATCAGGGCCTGGCTCCAACAGGTTTTCCATGCCAAGTCAGCCGAGTAACTAAAAATTATTATAAATTCCTTTCTCTCTTTGTTTCAAGTACACAAAATGTAAATCAAATACTTACCATTTTTGCCGTGAATCAAATCATCAACCAAGGGCATGGCCACATTATCAAAAAGCACCTTCTGGGATGTCTTCTCATCATATATCTTTTTAAATGTATGTTGTGTCTGGTATAAAATGAAAATAAACACATTATGTAAGGACAATTCTAGACATCTTAGCTAAGTTATATACATGTACATTGAACTTTTCAGAAGTGACAACATGGTCATATTCATTGCACTACCACTAATATCTGCATGCATTTTTCACATGTCATGCTAAAATAAGATTTGGTTACCTCTATTCGGTGGCCAGATTTGTATCCTGCAGAATTCTGGAAGAGAAAAATTCGTCAAAACATTCTGTACATGTAACCCACTGATAACAACAAGCAACATGATGTGTAACCAAGGAGTCATTTTTTCCCATACGAGCTTGATTATGAAACAAAGAAAATGTGAGTACTCGAAAGGGGAGCATTGTCGAGGGGAGAC